TGCCATCTGCACACCCCAGAATTTACTTGCACATCCCTAAAGCTGTGTTGTGCTGCTGTATTTCTTTGAAGGGTAGTCCAAAAGATTTGCCTGTGGACACAAGGAAACCTATGGCAGTCACAAACAGAACAAATCTAAAGAACATTCGCTCAAGTAATTAAAAATACACACTTTACACACAAAACTACAGAATTACGGATGTTGTATTGCCAGAGCCCTTTGATAAAAGAAAACTTTGAAGAAAGTTTTACCAAATAAATCACAAGATTCAGGCTTTGAAGATGGTTCATCTTATTTGAGAAACGCAGGAAATGACAAACCGTAGAAAAACAAACAAAAACACAACACTGGATTTCATCATCTAGAAGCACTGCTGTTAGAAATGTGGCATTTGGAAGAAAAACAAAGACAAAATCAAACCAATCCAAGACAAAGCGGAACTAACCCAAAGGGTCAGCACAACACTGATTGGAAATCCAGATAAGCATTTCAAACAGGCCACACTTTTTATCAGTTGGGTTCAGATTCCAACTGCAATGACAGAGAACATTCACATCTCATAGTTATAATATGCAAGTGTGCTTGTAAAAACCAAATTTGGGGCCAAAACAGCCCTGAGAATCCGCATACATTGCAATCTTTAAGCCAAACCACCTGTTGACTGTCCAATTGAGCCTGTATCACAAAATGGAAATAGATCAAGGATGCGTAGCTTTTATTGTTATTTTCTTGTATCTATTTAAGGGATTCCGGGCCCTTTATTTCCTGCATTCAAATGGAAAGTTGTTCCTACTACACATGCTGTATGAAGTGACTGAGGTTAATGCCACTTCACCAGAACTAAGCTGCTTCTCCTCACAGATCTAGCAAGCCCATTCTTGGCTACTTTCATGCGAACAGAATCACAGGGAAACAGAATGGTCTGAATTCAATACCAGTGAGGAGTATCTGTGAACAAAATTTTCTGAAACAAGTCTAGCCTGGAAAAATAACAACAAAAAAAACCACCCAAATACAAACAGAACCACCCTATATCCACATTATAACGTGTCTGGATTTCCGATAAATTTATCTTGCTTTTGATATGGATTTTAAAACCAACTAAGAAAAAATCCCCACCACCTGAAACGCAGCATTCACATGCCTGCTTACCAGTGCCACAAATGCGCCATAGCCTGAATTCATTACAAATAGCAGCATATGTTAGTAAAAAAAATTAAGTTTCCTAACTATTTCATTATGCTTCCCATGTGGGAAATTCTAGAGCCAAAACAGTGTCCAGGAACCGTGTCTGTGTTAACTTCACATAAAAGCCCACCACTTTTACAACCATAGTTCAATTTAATTATTGTACACAGGTTAACAAAAATGTATCACAAGTGAAAACTAAACATTGGATTTAAACAAAAACAATATTCAGAATGGTACAACACATGTTCATTTTCTCCAGAAAGTGATATTACAAGTGTTCATCTTAGGACAATTAGCCACACTATAGACAGAAGTTCAGTTAAAATGCAACTGTGGTCTACTAAGCCACTTATTTTAGCACTACAGAATATTTGAAGTCAGAGTCCTACAGCCAAGGCTTAAAAATCATTAAAGATTCAAACCCCAAAACGTCTTACAGTCAAAATGACAGTATTTAAAAAAAAACAAAAACAACCCCCATACAATTAATTAAAAGGCTGCTGTATATAGTTTTATCCTCTTCATAGCGCTCTCTATTTGTACAATTGCTGAGATCACTGGTAATAGGGTCTGTATCTGGCTTGATCGGGGTGGTGCGGTCCAGCAAGAGGGGCCTGAGCAGGAGGCCCCTGCATCCTCGGAGGTGGAGGCGGCCCTCTGGGAGCCGGCCAAATCCCTGGACTCATGCCCCCTGGCTGCGTGAAAGGGGGACTAAGAGTTCCTTGATCTTCACTGAACTGTGGCAAAGAGTTAGGGTTATAGTGATGGGGAGGGGGCGCACTGACATTTACGGGAGGGCCTCCGTGCTGAGGGGGGGGAGGTCCCGGAGGAGGATGATTCATATACGGCGGCATCTGGGCAATGATATGTCCAGGCGGCGGGGTTATCGGAGGAGGAGCAGAGGTCATTGGCGGCGGAGGAGCTTGGCTATACACCATGTGAGGTGTGCCTGCCGCCTGGGGAGGATGCTGCAGAGGATGGCTTATTGGAGGAGGCGGAGGGGGGGGTGGCGCATAATGTTGCTGCGGAGGCATAATGTGGTGCGGGTGCGTTACCACCGGTTGGCCCTGATACTCGGGGTGGTGATGAGCAGGTGCCGGGGCGGGCGGAGGTGGCTCTCGAGCACCCGAATTCGAATCATCCTGAATAGGGACGGTTATCAAGTTGCTGTGTTTTCTCGTAGAGATGCGGAAGGTGTCCTGACTGACCGGGCGAGGCGGCGGCGGAGCCATGGACATCTCGGCAGGAGGCGGGCGGATGTCTTCGTGCGGCTGGTTGTAATGCTCGTGCGGCACGTGCTGTAAGGGAGGCGGCGGCATCATGATGTGCTGCTTCGGCGGAATGTGGCTCATGTGGTGTTTCTCTGGAGGCATTATGAAACGCTCCGGGATCTCAGCAGGCGGAGGGGCAATGGGAGGATGCACGGGTTCAAGAGGAGGACGAGTCACAGGCTTTCCAGCTCTCATATGGCGGTGGTTGATGTGAGCCTGTAAGTCTCTCTGTGACAGGTAAGTTCTCTTGCACCCTTGGACTATACTGCACATGAAGAGAGACCCTCGCACACACTGCTCGATGCGCTGGACAGGTTCATTACAGCTAAATTAGAAGAGAACATTGGTTCATTGCCGTCATATAGAGTGAGTTCTGCAGGGCTTTTTCCCCCCCACTGTTGTTTTTGACTATTTTTTGATAATTATCAAAATTAGAATGAACATTTTCCCCCACTAGAGCAACAGAACACACTTGGTTGATTTTGAAGTTAAGCAAACATCTAAGGCTCCAAATACAACAACAGAATAGCATCAGAATTTCATAGGGTGGAAACTTAGACATGGCACCACCTTCTATCAGAAATTCCTTTTATGTTTTGGTATTCTTCAAATTGTAGCAATTACAGGTTATCTACACAAACACTTAAACAATGAGGTAAATGCCAATCTCTTAGCATTTGTTAACTGTGGGATATTAAGCTATAATTGAGTGGTGGACGAAGGAGCACTCTGCTACCTCTACCAAACGTGCACAGAAGAATGCTAATAACAGTATCTGAAATAAGTTTTTAAAGTGTTCTTCTTCCATTTCCCTTAGTAAAAACCTAAAGAGAACTTACCCAGGACACATCTTGTCTCCCTTCTTCTCATGTAGTATAGCACAGTCATAGCAGAAAACATGCTTGCAAGGTATCTAGAAAAAAAACAAATGGCTCTGTTAGACAACGTGTCATTTTGCACCATACAATGCCTCCACCCAGCACACAATTTCTAAGTACTGAAGTTATCTATGAAGAACTTACATAAGAATGTTGCTAGCCGTTTACAGCACCTTTGAAACAGAAACTTTCAAAACCAGTCTGTGTTGTCAGGAAGGCAAGGGTTTAGTTTTCTCTTTGATGGGGTTTGGCGCATGCATGGTTGGTTTGTGGAATTTGTTTTGTCTTTTAAAGAGCTGGCAAACATTTTAATTCTGCTGTAATACAAACACCGAACCTTTAGGGATGCTGCATATGCAATCTAATTGCACTTGTCTGCAAAAAGGGAATGTTTTAAAAGCATTAAGAGTCATCAAGTCAGATCCCCACGTCTGTTACATCACACTCAGATATCTAAATTCATCTCAGGGATTTTGTTACGCTAGTTTTTGAAAAGACATAAGAACAGTGCTTACTAACTTCATTACAAATTGTCCATTGACATAAAGAGTATTATTAAATCTAAGTGGTGCAAAGCTGAAAACACACTAAAAACTTGTAAGACTTCTGTTGGCCTTTTGGGGGAGCGGAAAGTGATTGCATTTGTTTTAAAGCTTTTGATTTTAGCTCTTCCAAGCTTACTTTATTAAATCAAAGGGCAAAGCAAACTCAGAGTCAGGCAGAACAACCCAGTCCAGCAGTTAATCACAGAACCACAGAATTGTAGGGGTTGGAAGGGACCTCTAGAGATCATCAAGTCCAACCCCCCTGCCAAAGCAGGTTCCCTACAGCAGGTCGCACAGGTAGGCATCCAGGCAGGTCTTGAACATCTCCAGAGAAGGAGACTCCACCACCTCCCTGGGCAGCCTGTTCCAGTGCTCCGTCACCTCACTGTAAAGAAGTTCTTGTGCACACTTGTTTGAAACTTCCTATGCTGCAGCTTATGTCCGTTTTCCCTTATCCTGTCTCCACATACCACTGAAAAGAGACTGGCCTCACCGCAATGGCCCCCACACGTCAGATATTTATAAACCTGGATCAGGTCCCCTGATAAGGCCCTGGTTCCATCTCAACATTGTTCTGCTGCTTACTCAGAGGTTTGCTAAAATCCCCACCCTCTGGAAGCCCCACAGAGACACGTAACACTTGTTACATAAAGGGACACCGTGGCTGCCTCTTCCCAAGAGCCCACTCACCATGCGCCCATACATTTTGATGGGCAAGCCACACTTATCGCAGAAATGGACAGGCGTATCATCCTTCTCCCCCAGCAAGTTTATCTAGAAGAACAGAGAAAGGGGTGGGAAAAAGAGAAACATCACTAAAGCTTCTCACTGCAGTCATCACCAACCCACCCTTCCTGAATTATCAGACCGAAGCAAGACCACCACAAACATGAAAATGTATTTTTGGTACACCAAAAAGTAATGCAAGCGATTTCATCCTAGTGGATACTTCTTAAAATAACCTTCAGTTTGGTATGATTCACAAAGTTCTACCATTTCCCATCCTTGATTTTACCTTATAGTCCCAAAATATGGGCCCGGGGAATCTCCTTTGATTTCCAAACATTTCACCTCCTTTGCATTCGTATCGCTCCTCTTCATTGAAATCAAATTCTTCTGTGGAAAGAGGAAAGAGAAGACAGATACAAGACAACGCCACTTCCCTAACTGACGCCGGCTGCTATTAAGCGCATGCACCGGTGAACATCGAAATCACCAGGGCAGGCTGCAACACTCCCAGTCTGCTGGGCCATTCTGCAGAAAGGTACAACCAAAATAGTGTGAATTTGCTTGGGGAATTGGCATCTTTTACTCCTCATAGAGCAGCAGAACCTGGAAAACTGAAACAGGCTGTGCAGCTATAAAGAATCCTGGATTCCAACACTGATTCCAAAGCCTTCAACAGTGCTGCAGAATACGCTGCCTCACTGCAGGGTGAGTTGCTTATAGCAATTTACCTTCATCCCCAGCTTGTGTCTTTGCAGGCATCCTGTTCATAGCTCTGGGAGCCCGAGGTGCAGGTTTGGTTTTATTGGTCTGCTTTGAGATCAGCTTTATTGGGATTCTTCTGCGAACATCAAGACCACCCAATGACGCTGAACTATTTGTTCCTTGCAAATCATTGTCTATGGAAGAAAAAGAAATTCTGTCATTTCTTAGTTATGAAATAGCTTCTGAAGATGCTAAAATTATGTTAAAGACAGATAAATAAAGCTAGTCTGCCACTTTTCCATAGCAGGAAAAAACATTAACTGCACAGCCCCTACTGCAGCACAAAGAGTACTGAGGAGTCGGCTCTTTCTATGACCATGAAAACACAGAACTCCCGCTGAAAAAATATTTTCACAATTTATATAAATTCATTTTTAAACAAATTAAAAGGAAATTAAGTTTCCATCTGTACTCTTAAAAATCACAGAACGGTCCAGATTGGAAGGGAGCTCAAGGATCATGAAGCTCCAATCCCCTTGCTTCAGGCAGGGCCACCAACCTTCCCATTTAATACTAGACCAGGCTGCCCAGCGCCCCATCCAACTGGGCCTTGAACACCTGGAGGGACGGGGCATCCACAACCTCTCTGAGCAGCCCATTCCACTCTTAGCAACCTTACATATCACTTACAAGTTCAGCATAAAGCATTGCAAAAATATTGGTGCTTAGAGTACACAGCATCCTTGCTAAACTAAAGATTACCATGCCTTTCTACAGGGCTCTTTTGTCCAGGTTTAAGTCTGGCACCAAAAGAAGCAAGGACATGCCTAACACAGGCACTGAGAGACAACCTGGAAGGAAAAGTGCTGCCAAGGATTGATGCACACCCCGATTTCCCCAGCTTTCAGCAAGTCATCCTCAACCTACCACAGTATCTCATTTATGGAAAAATATAATCACATCCTTCAAAACCAGCCTAGCTCACTTCCATTTTAATAGGCACATGCGTTGACAAAATGGCACTTTCAGTCAGCCCTTTGCAACAAAGACTCAGACTTCTATTAAAACCATGATTAGACCCATACTGAGACACCTTTAAGTCTATATCCCTATAGAAAGGAGACGGATACACACAAAAGACCATAAGTAACCCAGAAGGCAAATTCCATTCTGAAAGAAAACTGACACAGAACTTGGTGACAGCTCCACAGTACGCAGGCACTGAGACAGGGCCCCATTAGGGTACTGTGCACAATGCCTGGCATAAACTCCATGCCTCAGAGCTCACAGCTTCCCTTTGCAACACCGCTTGAAGGGAAAACAAGAAAACAAAGGAAATGGAGGGCTTGCTAGAAACTGCAACCAAGTTTCAAATCAGGACTGTGCCTCCACAGTCACTTTGCTTCAGTATCATGAGTGCCCATATATCCTGATCCATGAATCAGACAACACCTGCTTTCCTCCCATCGCTCCCGGGGCAGCACTGCAAACAGCAAACAGCACAGGCACCAACAGACCAGAACATCAGAGGCAGCAACACCAACTCTGTCTTCTACGCCTGTGGAAAACTTCTGAGTTTCTATTTATTTATTTATTTTTAAACAGAAATACCCCAAAACACACTACACGCCAAATAAGTCCTACAGACCTCGGTCCATTTCAAGCACAGATAAGCACACCAAACAGGAAGCCAGAACTCAGCAGGCCACCTGCTCCATTGCTGCCCAGCAGGAGCAGTTCAGTTCTGACCCTGCCCAGCCCATGCTCACAGCCCCGATGCCAAACCCGGCGGGCAGGATTTGCTCCTATTTGCTCCTGCCTGTTTCCGGAAGGATGACACGCTCTGGTCCGTGGATGCACACCCAGCTGGGTCACGCCCCTAAAGAAGCACAACAGATGCATCCCAATCTGTTGACTTGGAGAAGACAGAACCAGAAGCGATGCGCTCTTCTAGGTGATCACCTTTTGGAGATTCTCTTTTTAGTTCGGTATTTTAGGATTTATTACAGTCCACAAGCGGAGCACAAAAACGAACCCTGATGCATTTATAACGCAAACTTTCCTAAGGGAAAAACAAGCACACCGGTAACAGAAAGCGGCGCGTGCCCTGCATATCCCCCAGCGCCGCAGCCCAACGGAGCGCGGAGCAGCCGGCTGGGGGAGGGGACCGCGAGTTCCGCGCTCGGGGCACGGCTCAGGCCCCGCGTCCAAGTCCGGGGCCCCGCCGGGTCCCGCCGCACTCCCGAGGACGAGGCCGAGCCGCCCTCTCGGCCCCGCGCCGCCACCCCCCGCGCTCAGCCGCTCCCCGGGAGGCGCAGCGGCCCAGAGGCCCCCCGCCTCTCCCCTCCTCACCATTGTGGTCCATGGCGCGGCGCGGGGCGCTGTGGGAGAGGAAGGGCGCGGCCGGAAGCGGAAGGCACGGCGGGACGGGCGGGGAGAGCGCGAAAAAGGGCGCGGCGGAGAATCGCCGATGGCACCGCGGCCCCGCGCCGGCAGGGCGGTGAGGACATGGCGGAGCCTACAGGCAGCGCGGTGCTGCCGCCGCTCCGCCGCACAGCAGCGCGAGACTGCCGGCTCCCGGCGGCCTCCGCGGGCCGGGAAAAGAAGGCGGTGACGGCGGCGGCCGTGCCGCGGTGGCTGCCGGGATGGCTGCGGGCGGACCGCGGCCCCTGTGGGGGGGGGGTGGGGTGTAGCGCAGCCCGCCCCGCGCATGCGCGCTGCGGAGAGCGGGATCGTCCAATATGGCGGCGGCGGCGTTCGGAGCGGGTGGTGCTTGTCCTGCCGTCCCTGCCGCCCGTACCGTCTCGGCGGGAAGCCCTTCCGTGAGGTGCGGGTGGCTGAGCGCGGGCACAGCTGTCCCGAGGCTGCGGGTCTCCTTCCTGGAGATCTCCATAAGCCACCTGGCCGTAGCCCTGCGCACCCTGCTCTGGGCGGTGCTTGGCGCTGGGATGCTGCGTCCCTGCAGACACATTTATCGTGACTAAGCTGCAATTTAAGCCTGTTGTTGCTTGTCTTCAGTCCGGACGTTGCAGGGAAAGGGATATGTGGTTTTCCCTCTGTTTGCTGCTAGGCATACTCAAGGGAAGAGTGCCGTTCATCCCTGTACAGTGCGCCTTATTTCCACGTGGTAACGAATTCACAAAGAGTAAAAAAATGCAGATGCATATAGTGTTTTTCCAATATGCACAATTTTATTTTCTAGTCAGTGGATACAATTGCATTCAATTCACAGCTTTGTAAAACAGTAATAAAATGTATCTCCAAATTTAGTACTTGATATGTAAAGGCTATAGTAATACTCAAAATGCATACAGAAATGTCACCTCATCATTCTACTGGGGAAAAAAAAACAACACCATATCTAGTTGCATTACTTAGGGTTGTCTGAATTAGTACAAAGTTGTATAGAATTTCAGCTTTAATTGTTTGGGTATCCTTCTTTTTCACCAGATGGATGCACACACAGCACAAGGAAGCACGCAGTCCCTATCCCTCTGACAGAGGTGTCTGAATGCCCTCTGCGCGTGTCTTAGTGCTCTGTGTAAATGCAGGCCTTGTGTGGAACACTAATGTTCAGGACAGGTCAAATACTTTGTACCAGATAAACTGAGAACGCTACTATGCCTTGAAGAAATACACAGTCCAGGAATGAGAGTACAATAGAATCACAGAATGGCTTGGGTTGGAAGGATCATGAATCTCCAACCCCCCGCATGCTGGGCTGCCAACCTCCACATTTAATACTAGACCAGGCTGTCCTGGGCCCCATCCAACCTGGCCTTGAATACCTCCAGAGTCAGGGCACCCACAACCTCCCTGGGCAGCTTGTTCCAGTACCTCACCATTCTCTCTGTAAATAACTTCCTCCTGACATCCAACTTAAATCTTCCCTCCCTCAACTTAAAGCCATTTTCCCTTGTCCTGCTGTTATCTACCCTTTCAAACAGTTGATTCCCCTCCTGTTTATGGGCTCCCTTTATGTACTGAAAGACTGGAATGAGGTCACCCTGCAGCCTTCTCTTCTCCAGGCTGAACAAGCCCAGCTCCCTCAGTCTGCCTTTGTATGTGAGATGCTGCAGCTCTCTGATCATCTTTGTGGCCCTCCTCTGGACCCCCTCCCACAGCTCCTGTCTTTCTTGTACTGGGGACCCTAGACCTGTTCACAGTATTCCAGATGGGGCCTCCCAAGAGCAGAGTAGAGAGGGACAATCACCTCCCTGTCCCTGCTGGCCACCCCTCTTCTGATGGAGCCCAGGATACCATTTGCCTTCTGAGCTGCGGGAACACACTGCTGGCTCATGTTAAGCTTTTCATCCACCAGGACCCCCAGGTCCTTCTCTGCAGGGCTAAAGAAAAGCAGTACAGCTTTAGGAAAGCAATACAGGGCTTCAGAAAAGCAATACAGCCTCTGAGAAATGCTACTGGCCTTGTCCTGCTGCACACACTGGCAATTGTGCTTTATATTCAGGTTAATACAGACTGGGGCCGTGGCCTGACAGAAGCTTTGTCAGTGATGTTGCAGAAGAGCCAAGCTCCTTAGTTACACTGCCAGGGAAGGGGGAACACTGAAGATGGGTAGTGCTAAGAGCACACACTGTCAAGTCCCAGCCTGAGCCTCGGCATTAATGTAAATATGAAGCAAGACTTCCCTCTTAGGAGGTGCAGGTCAGTCTGGCTTGGCTCCTACGCATGTGCCTAGTTTCAGCTCATGGAGATGCCAGTCTGGCACACAAAGGGCATTTGCCTAACAGTAAATAAAAAGGCATGTTTTCACTGGCTTGGTCTGTAACAGCAGCACCTTTGAGGATCAAACCCCCATTGCATTTGAAATGAAAAATGACACCGATTGTCATTAGAACTGAAGTTTTTTGCATTTATTAGGGAATAAAGATGTCAGTTTGATGCCTCTACCCACTATGTGAGGATCTTGTCCAATTGACTGAAATTTGTAGGTTTTTTAAAAAAGATCTTAATGGAGTTCACTCAGGTCTGTAGGGCAGAATAACGTACTTAGTGCTTAGCTTTTCACCTGAGATTTTCCACTAACCTTACTTGCAGCAAAAATTTTCTCAGTGCAGTATGATATCGGAAAAATTCTCTGATGTTATCAAATAAGGAACTTAACAAATATCAACGTAAATGCCAAGAACTGGGAAGCTTAAATACTGAGGGGACATTATACCTGGACATTTCTTATACTTCTGCTATTATATATTCCCTCATTGTGCAAAGATTTGTTGGTTTTTTTTTGTGTTTGTTTTTCCATTAAAAAATAATATAGTGCTAAAATATTAAGGTAGCAGTCCATTTTCCATCAAACAAATGTTTCTTCATGAAATTAAGATCACTGATTTACTGCATAACTATTTTATATAGTTCTAAAATAAGGATTAAAGTTCAGCTCCCTTATCTTCTGTAAATTATTGCACTTGTGCATTATGGACTGTTAAATGTCTATACATGTCCTGCAAAAGAACAGCAGCAGTTTGATGCAGAATATTAAAAGAAAAAAATATGCTATATAAAAATAGAATCATTCATTAAACTACTTAAACTTCTATATTTCATAGTTAAAAAACATTATACTAGGTGACATTTTGACTCTCTTACTTGCATTCAGTAGCATCCATTAAGTAACCCATTAAGTACTTGAGAACTAAGGTTTTCATTGATTCAGTCTGGGTCCCAATCTATCTCTTGATGGAAGATATATAGCCAAAATCATCTGCTGTATATAGTTCATTTTAGGGAAAATCATTAATAGTGGTGCATGATTTGCTACAGTGGGCTTAATACAGAGCTAATGAACCCATATCCAAACATATTTGCTAACGAAGGTTACTGTATTCAAAGTTTTTTTTTGTGGTTCAGTGCAGTTTCCTGTTCATGTGGCTGTCACCCATTTCAGCTATCCATCACCCCGTAGCAATTTAAGGAACTGCCTGGAAAGAACAATCCAGGTATGCTTTTCAAG